TTGTACGGCAGTGGGGCATCGGTGTTGAACACTGATGTTATGCTGATGATGATGATGATGATGAAACGTTTCTAACAGTTGGCGGGGTTTTTAGAACAACCTAGGGTTGCTCTGTATCGGTCCGATTTGGGTTCAAGTAAAACATAGGCTTGACGAAACTCGGGGATTGCGCCTACCTGATAAGATGGCCTAAGTGGTTAGAGCGCCAATTTACCGACCGGAAGGTCCGTGGTTCGAATCCGACCTCCGCCTCTCGACTTCTCCTGTCTAGGCTTGGGCAACCTGGCATTATCCCAGCCCTCGTGCTTTCTTCGGGTGGAATGGCAGCTGGGCACCGGAAGGGTGCTACAGTTGAACGCTTTCTTTTCTTTTTCTACCCGATAAGCCTCAAGAAGGGCGAGACTGATCGTGGGCTATCGGAGAGCCTTCAGCAACCTTGTGATTAGTTTCATTTATGGAAATTATGCATACTGTTTTTGCGTCTTGTATTTTTTCGCGAGCTTGGGATGATATTAGGTCAGGGTGCATTTTCGGTTTTGGAGCGGAAGATCATATTTTTGTGAAGCATAAGATAAATCCATGTGTAAATCGGGACCAGGATAACTTGTGCACATAAAGCGCCTCCAAATATTCCGTTCTCAAGTTCAGTTATAAGCTTGAGCGGCTCTGTGGATCCGGTTTAAAGGAATGATAAATTGTATTAACGTGACAGGGTTGAATTCCCGAATTGCATTCACCTCAAACTTTTACGGGTCCTGACTTCAGTGCGGATAGCAGATTTCACGCTTTTTGCCCTTCATGGAATTCTCGTTTGGTGAAAGCTTATGTGATCCATACAGGTTTACAACTGCACACACTGGTGATGTTGTGTTCCCTGTAAAGAAATGTTTGTCTGGCTAGGCTGGCAGACGGAGGCTGCGTTCCTTCCTTATTAGCAGCAGCACATGAAATTTGACTCCATTGCAGTATTCTGAATGGGTCTCCGGAATAACGAACACGTTTTACGCTGATATTTCATGCACATTTTAATACTGCAATCGTATTCGTGTTCACTAATCAACGTCAGAAGTTGTGGGGCACTCGATGTAATAGTGGACAGTACCGTTGTAGTTATCATCAATGGAGATGTTGTTTTCACTACTATTCTCCATTCACTGTTCAGTTGTCTTTTCTGGCAGACCAACCTATGGCTGTAAACCCCTATATCCACGAACTGTTTCACTTGATGCTTCCAGCACGTACCTCTCAGACATGTGTTGTTCGGAAATTGTTTAATCTGTCAGCTGGCGTTAAAGATATTCTATTAGTGAATCTCAGATTGTTCTCGTTCTCTGTACACTTGCTTGGAAATTGGTTGTACAAAGATTTCTGAGGTCTCAACTATTCCCGAATGAAAATAGTAAAGTCCCATCAATTTAACCATTTTCTGCTAGTGTCCGAGGAAGTTGTGCTATTTCAAAACAGCTACAGTGGGACAACACAAAAGTCCCCTGTCATTTTTTTTCCTTTCCTCACTTTATTCCTGTATTCTATGTAAGTGTAACACTCAACTCCCATAACCGGGGATCGATAAGAAAGCATCTGCAACCGGAGAGACGCAGCAGAATAAGGATCTGCTGTCGCGTAGAAACAGCGGAAACTGTAGAGTTGATGACGTACAGGAATCAGTCCTTAGCCGCATGCGGGTGTATCCAGAAAACACCATTCATGTTACATTTTGAAAAGAATTGGTGACCTTACTCGTTACAAATTTTAGCTGTTTTGGTTCATCCTAGTATTAAATATGTTAAAAGCACAAAACTCGTCTAAGTTCAAACCTGTTTCTTCGAACTGAACAACCCGAGTTGTTTTTTTTTACAAACTCTTGCATCCACAATCATGATAGTGGATGCACAACGAAGTTAACCTTATTTATGTTAGTGGTTGAGGTCGCTATACGCAACTCCGGAATTCAAGTCGTGAATTCAGTAAACAACGTTTTCTATTGGATTGTGGGTTTCGTTGTTTTGTTGACCCATGCTGATTTCAGTGCTGTAGCTTGTATCTCCACCTTTGCTATCCTCTCTCTGTGTATCACCTTATTCTTCACATGCTGTCAATCGCCAGCCTCTTGTTACATGAGTTAATGATTCAACACACTCGTGCTTCTGTGCGATTATGGAAACAGTAACATTCTGTATAGATGAAATGTACCAAGTCACAGTATGTAAATGCCCAGTTTAACGTTCCAGTCAGTCAACCTCTGGCATAGAGAATACTGAACGTGAAAACCAATACAGTGTTTGCGCCTTACTTTTTACGAATTAGACCTTTTCTAAATTCGAAGATACACCATATAGTTGTAGCTGTGGGACTGAACATGTACCATCTCAGTGTTCTGCGGCTAAATACTATGATATACAATAGTATATCCATGTGACTATTTTCGTAGCATGTGTTCTCTTTTGCGGATAGGCGTCTATTGCATTTCCGGGAGTGACCCACCTGTTACTTTCCAGAAGCAATCAGTTCACCATGGCCCTATTCCTACTCGATCACTTTCCACTGCCAGCACGCTGGCAAGAGCTTGATTGGGTTTTCGGAACATTGTCGTATCTTCATAAATGTATAGGAAATACCTCAGTATAACCAAATTTCCCAGTCACCCACTGTAATCTCTTGTAGAAAGAGAAGCCGGGAATGGATGTCGACCCATAAAATGATATCGACTGTCGAGGGCATCGAATGTTGGTCAGTTCAGTATAAAGTACCAGTAATGGACCATACACCAAGGGTACGCTAGTGAGACTATCCTCACCGCTTGACTGTATCCATGTGGTTAGTTTAATAAAGTGCATAGGAGACAGTTTTTACGACAAATCGCAACAAATGGTGAAGTTTCGGTGTGACGGAAGAGCGGTTGTTGATACTTT